CGGGAGGGAGGAGGGGGCCCCTCGCCTTTTGAGTGACTTGCTGGTGGCTGGAGGTGGTCTGTGTGTAAGGCTCCACAGGGACAATCTCATTAATTCTTGAGATCAGCCTGGGCTCCTCTGACTAGGGCCAAAGTATTTGCATGGAGCTCTACTCACACACTCTCACCAGTCGACCTGCAGTCACTCTCCAAGCAATAGTGAAGAGTTTAACCAGTGTTTAGTGTCTGCCATTCTCAACAGACGTTAGCTCCCATGTGCACAACATTAGTTTCAAGAGGTACCAACCAGTGGTCACTTGCAGGAAATAGGAGGGGGTCTTGGCCCCATCTCTCTGGCCTTGCGCATGTCAGTAGAGGTCAGAATATGGAGGACTGGTATGCAACAGAGGTTTGCTTCCATAGCTTGGAAGGTATTTCTTTGGGATTTTTTTGCTGGGTACAAACACGTGGGAACCTCCAAACACCTGTGTGCAGGAAAAGGGGTCTCCCCAGGAAGACGATCTCAGGCTAGCTGGCACCCCACCCGGAGTGCGTGGTGTTCTCACGCTCCACACCTGCAAGCTGGCTGCCTCGGAACCGTAGCCACACCCAGAGGCCCTGGTGGGAGGGTGGGAGCTTTCTCTTCCCTGGGGAAATCTCCCATACCTGCTGAGACGGTTCACTTGTGTGGTCAGGCAGTACTACAGCTGGAAATGGCACCCAGCCACTCCTTGGTAGGTTCTGGAGTGCAAGTGCAAGGTAGGGAGTACCTGCCAGTGTCTTTTGTCCAAGCTGCAGAGAGGGTACTGGACTCAGAGGGCCACCTAGTGGCCTCCAGGCCTCCTCTGGGGCTGCTCAGGTGAGCAGGAGAGTGACCCCACCCAGAAATGCCCATGAAGCTGCTGCCTGTGACACCAACATCTCACATCAGAGAGCTGGTTTGTATCCCGGCTGCTCTACTTCCCACTCAGCTCCCTTGCAGTGGCGGATGGCTCAAGCATGCAGGTGGGCCCCTACCACCTACGTGGCTGACCCAGATGGAGTTTCTAGACCTTGACCTGGACCCAACATTATGGCCATTTGGGAAGTGAAGCAGATTTCTTTCTGTATCTCTCTTTGTCACTATGCCTTTCAAATAAACAAAGCTTCAATAAGAATAAAAATGGTGAGGCTTACAATAAAACTCATGAAGTTTGGGTCAACTGTTTGGTATAGTGGCTAAGGCATTGGCTGGCTGGCATCATGCCTATATCCGGTATGAGTACTGGCTGGGTTCAAGCCTTGCTCTGCTTCTGACCCCGGCTTCCTGTTGAGGCACACCCCGGGAAGCACCAGCTGGCGACTCAAGTACTGGGTCCTTGTCATGCATGTGGGAGGCCAAGGTTGAATTCTGAGCTCCTAGCTTTGGCTTAGGTCCAACCCTTGGCCTTTAAGGTCTTTTGGGGAGAACGGATCAGTGAATGAGAGATCTTCCAAATAAATGAGGATAAATTAATACAAATTCAAAAGCTAACCCTCACCCACCCTTTGGGGAAGCCCAGCGGTGGGAAATGGGGTTTCTAAAGATTTATTTTTTTTATTATTTTTTCATTGGAAAGGCGGATATACAGAGAGGAGAGACAGAGAGGAAGATCTTCCGTCCGATGATTCACTCCCCAAGTGAGCGCAACGGGCCGATACTATGCCGATCTGAAGCCAGGAGCCTCTTCCGGGTCTCCCACGCGGGTGCAGGTTCCCAAAGCTTTGGGCCGCCCTCGACTGCTTTCCCAGGCCACAGGCAGGGAGCTGGAAGGGAAGCGGGGCTGCCGGGATTAGAACCGGCGCCCATATGGGATCCCGGGCGTGCAAGGCGAGGACCTTTAACCACTTGTGCCACCGCGCCGGGCCCGGAAATGGGGTTTCTAAGAAAGAGATACAGAATTGGGGTGGCCCCGTTGAGACCCCAAACTAAGTTGACATCCCCCTGAGGAAATACTGAATCAGAAGGAAAACTGTGAGATGGGAGATGACCTGGCTGGGAGGCCAGCTGGGGCAGGGTTCTCATCGTCCCCCTCGGGCCCAAACATGTGCCCTGCTCACCAGGGGTGCCTTTCTTGTGTGACATTTCTATGTAGGTAAGAGCCACTCACTGCTTAGGAAACTAGCATATTTAACCAGGGAACCTAGCGTGCTCAAAGCTTTGGGAAGCCCCATGTAAGGCTAGTGCCCAGGTCACCTATGAGGATTCTAGAAGAGCCTAGACCAAGCACAGATCTGATTCAGATGCTCATATCCTCAATTCTGACCCCTGTGCCAGTGCTATCCCAAGCTTCTCTCATTCGAAGAAGAGGCTTCTGAGTTCCCACCAGCCTTGCTCATCTTTCTGACGCACCCCATAGTCCCTGCTGAGCTGAAGGCTAGAGGTCCCCAGCAAGGGAAATCCCATGACTCCCCATTCTCCTCCTACCTTCTGTATGGCTCCTAACTCCTGGAGCCCTGTCAGGTTGGCCACCATGGATGGAGGAATTAGGAATCGTAGGACAATATGGAGCTGGCGCAGTGGCATCGTATATGGGCACCAATTCTAGTCCTGGCTGCCCCACTTCCAATCCAGCTCTCTGTTTATGGAATGGGAAAGCAGCTGAGGGCTGGCCCATGTCCTTGGGATCCTGCACCCACATGGGAGACCCAGAAGAAGCTTCTGGCTTCGGCTGTTGTGGCCCACAGTAGATGGAAGATTTTTAAAAAAGATTTATTTATGGGCCTGGCGCGGTGGCGCAAGTGGTTAAAGGTCCTCGCCTTGCACGCCCAGGATCCCATATGGGCACCGGTTCTAATCCCGGCAGCCCCGCTTCCCTTCCAGCTCCCTGCCTGTGGCCCGGGAAAGCAGTCGAGGACGGCCCAAGGCTTTGGGAACCTGCACCCGTGTGGGAGACCCGGAAGAGGCTCCTGGCTTCAGATCAGCATAGTATCGGCCCGTTGCGCTCACTTGGGGAGTGAATCATCGGACGGAAGATCTTCCTCTCTGTCTCTCCTCTCTGTATATCCGCCTTTCCAATGAAAAAATAATAAAAATAAATCTTTAAAAAAAAAAGATTTATTTATTTCTACTGGAAAGTCAGATTTGCAGAGAAGAGAAACAGAGAGAAAGATCTTCCACTTGTTGATTCACTCCCCATGTGGCCACAATGGCCAGAGCTGAGCTGATTTGAGGCCGGGAGCAAGGAGCCTCTTCTAGGCCACCCATACAGGTGCAGGGTCCCAAGGCTTTGGGCCATCCTCCTCTGCTTTCCCAGGCTGCAAGCAGGGAGCTGGAAGGGAAGTGGAGCAGTTGGGACACAAAATGGTGCCCACAGGAGATCCCAGTGCATGCAAGGTGAGGACTTTAGCCACTAGGCTACGATGCTGGGCCCAGACAGAAGATCTTTGACTCAAAATATGTCTTTAAAATAAAAAGAAACAAATCCCCCCGCCCCCCCCCAAAAAAAAACCCAACCAAATAAAAAAACAAAGAATGCAGGACAAGAGCGCCCAGCTCAGTGGTATTCCTCTCTGCTTTTCCCATCTTCCCCTGGCTGCGCCAAAGTGGCACTTCCTGTGAGGATGTCTCCCCACCAGCAGGACAAGCCCTCCATGTGGACATGTGATGCTGGCGGCATCCCGTAGGTGCTATGGGAAGCCAACGGGAAAATGCACCAGCGCAGGGAAAAGTGCTGGTCTGAACTCCAGCTCGGTGTTACAAACCCCGCTCTGTTCTCAGCGACTTCTTACCACCTTACCTCTCACTCGGTGTCTGCATCCTTTGCAAGCAGGAACTCTGCTCCGAAACCCAGGCCGAAAGCAACACCTTCTGTTGGAACATCACAGAGGAGCACCCCCTCCTGGCAGACACACAGGATGCCGTTGGTCCACTTGTCCTCCATTTCTTCGTGGGGTGGACCAAGAAGGTACTGGGCTGCTCCTGCGTGTCATGTATGATTGTCTCGCAGGTGGGAGATGGCGGGGCCAAACCCAAGCTGGCTGTCGACAGGTGGGACATTTAGCCCTCCAACAAGGAAGACTGGGGCCATGGTCAGCAGCTTGCATGCCCCAAACGTCTTCACTGCTCCATCCACCTGCAGTTCTGCTGTGAGCGTCCCCTGCCTGCCCACCACCCTTATATCACCACCAGGCTTGTAGGGGAGGAGGAGAATGCAAGTGGGATCTGGGGCCATGGATTTGGTCGGAACCCCATATCTCAAGAGCTGACGGGCTTTATCTAGGTTCTGCAAGTGATGGAGGCTGCTGTGGGCCTCCTTCAGGGAGTGGGCAAATGACTCCTGAGCTCCAAACACCTGCTGACCAAACGCGCGCCAACTGGACCCACACATGTCACAGAACGAGCGAGCAATGAGGAGACACAAGCAGTGTCTATAACATATAGTCTTATATTTGGAAAAGCAGTTTAAAAAAAAACACTTGAAAATACAGACCAGGTAACCATTACTTACATAAGTGTTCACCTTATATTGCTTGGCCGTTTTTACATATAAATTATTGCTAGCATCAATACACACACACACACACACAGAGTACGGTCTTATATACAGAGGCAGGAAGCGTGAAAGATGAGGAGGAAATACTGCTCATGGCAAATGCTGGTGACTCCGCGCTTGCTTCATGTCCACCAGCTCTTCCGACGGCGGCAAACTACGCGTGTAGTCCCTGAGAGTTAGGTAGACGCCTGGTCGCGCCTTTCCCATCTTCTAACCGTTAACGCAATCTGACTGTGTCACACCGGCTATCGCTGAGGAGACAACATTCGAAGGCAAGATTCCTCACTTCCGGTCACTGAGATTGACCCCAGTGTTGAATTAATTACGCATACAATAAATAGGCTATGCAAATAAATAGTACTCTGCTAAAAAAAATTGTTTAGTATATACAGCTTTGCTTTATACAGGAGTACATTTTTATCATACTTTTTGGCAATGTTTAAAAACCCCTCCCTCTCCACCCCACTACCCACCCTCCTTCCCCAACCTCCCACCCCTGTCCCGCCAGTCTGAGGCAAAATGGGCCCACTCGCTGCCGATGATCAGGCTGAAATTGTAAGGACGAGTCTGTGACACTTGAGAAGTTCAGGGTTGGAGACTGTAGTGGACTCTCCTACATTTTCATGTTTTCTGCCCCATTTCTTCAGGAGCTGGAAGTCCTCGAGCTGTTGAAGAACAGCTATTTGGGATTTGCAGTCTATAGTGCTGGCTCCAAGTGTAAATGCAGGCCTGGGTCTGGGACAGCCCCGGGCATCCAAAGTTGTCGTCACCCGCTGCCACCTCTGTGTACCCATTTCTCTTGAGCTCCTGGGTGAGCGTAGGCTGGTGTGGTACCCTCTTCCCTGCAAATCTGAAGGAGTGGGCATTTCTTTAATCCTCCCAAGTTCAACGTATGCTCCTAGCTACCCCCAGTGGATGGTACTGGAAAATGAACTTATTCTCAAAATGATCAAAGATGCCAAGAAAAAAAAGGGAAAAAAAAAAAGAACTTGAGTCCTAATGTTTATCCCTAAAACCACCTGGCAATTTAAAAACATAGTAGTCTATAAGACATCTGCAAATGTGTATGTGAATCCTTAGAAAATAGCCAACAGGAAAAGTTGCAATCTTTCATTTCTCAGGAACCTGCACCAACTGTTTCATTGATGAATCCAAAGACCCTCAGCCTACCCCAGGTTGTGCTGCCACGAAGAAGAACCCATTAACAGGTGCCTGGGTACCGCTGCCTATTACTGCAGGGGCTAAGGAAGACATGGAGAGCAAGTGGCGATTTCATGCAGGTCTGAAAAGCCAAAGGAGGGCTGGCAAGGGGCTCGGGGGGAAGAGGCTTTGGTGAATGTCTGGGCACTGACAGAGCGCGTCCCCAACAGTTGGTCAGTTCTTGGCAACAGCCTCCTGGGGAGTGCTGTCTGGCTTGCCCATTTCTGCTCTGACCTGTTCCACCCCTCAGAGCTTCTGAAATGTCTGGGGGTTGTCATGTGGAAGATGGCTGGAGACAGATGGTGGTAACATTCCTGCAAAGGTTTAGAGATTTGACACACTCAGAGGGCTGGGTAGAGAAGCAGACCTCAGCAAAATAAAGTTCTCCCTTGGCCTTGGCCACCCTGCAGGCTGCGTGACTGTGGTCGGGCTGATGGCAAGTGTCCCACGCAAAGTATGTGCATCCTGATGTGGCCGAGGTATGCATGTAACTTGTGGTCTAGGCAGGAGGTGACCCTCTCCAAGTGATGTTCTACTCAGAGCAGGGAACCTTTCATGCCGAGAAAAGTCACCTTCTGAAATGGAAGAGCTGACAGTCGAAGTGGCCTTACCGGCTGGGTCCTTGGCACAGAGCAAGGATACAGGTATGCCCTGTGTCCGAGGCCCACGTGGTCTTGCTACCAACCATGGGCAGGACTGGCTGAGGGCTGGAGTGCTGGGAAGCAAGCCTTCTTTCCCCAGGCCCGAGGGTTCTGATCTTGTCTGCTGAGCCCCAGTCCCTGCACAAAGCAGGACACACCTCTTGGAGCAGAGCAGCCCAGGGTTCTAGAAGACTGTTTTCAGCATTGGGGCTGTTCTGTGCATCTGTGGCTTGTGGGGCATCCATCAGCTCCTGCCCTGAGAACAGCAACAGGGCCTGCGGTTGGCTACTGGAGTCCCATCTTGAAGTGAAGGGGAGACTACTTGTCAAACAGAAAAGGGGGCAAATTACAGAGTTCTGCTTTGACGGGCAGTGAGGGGAATTGCCAGGACTTCTGGGTCTCTCACTGGAATCAGACATCTGCATACTTCAGCACACTCTGCATTTTGCCCATGACTGGCGATCCTTGTTCTTATCACCTTCTCCTGAGTGGAGGGGAGGGAGGGATGGTGCTGAGTCTTTCCAGAAGCCAATGGTGCTTTGGCCTTTTCCTCACCGGCTCAGCTCACTCCATCCCGTCATCCTGGAGCCTGCCTTCCCCAGGGCGTGCACAGGGATGTGGGTCTGACTCGATCCGTCCACCAGCAGTGACTGCATTCCTGCAAGTTGCCAGGCAACACTTTTTCCCCCCACAATCATATTCTGCCTGATGTTTGTTAATGTACAGAAAATTCCTAGAAACTGAATGGTGAGGCCTCCTCTGTAGAGACGACTTATTTTTTTTTCCTTATTGGCAATAGCAACTTAGTCTGCCTGGCCCGGGGTCTGCAAATCAGCCACACAGGAGCACGATTTCACCTGCGGGTAGATGCCGAGATGTGGCTGTGGCTGCCAAGAGCCACGTTGCCTTGGCAGGGCTTGAGTGTGGTCAGGCCAGTTCTCACTCACCCCCTTCCTCCCCAGAGACAGGTGGCTTCTGGTGGTTTGGCTGGAGAGATAGTCCTCTCCTCCCCTGGACATCCAGGGCTGACAATGCTGTCCGCAGGTGGCCAAGAGCGAATCACTTGTTTGAGAGTCTGTGAGCAGGAAGCTAATGCGAGGTCAGGCGAAGCTGCTGGCTGCTGCACCCAAGCTCGTGCTGGGAGGCAGGGGCACTGGATCTTCAGACACGATTTCCCGTCTTGTGCTGAATACTGGAAGTCGATCCTATGAAAGCCAGACTTCTCCATTTCCAGCTTGGTCCTGAAACCCACTTTCTGCCTTCCCATCCCAGGGAGGAGCAGAGCACCTCTCTTGCTGTGGTTACTGGTGGCACATGCCAGGGGCTGGCTCTCCTGCGAGGGGTGGGGGGTGGGGGGGGAACAGAGTCTTGTGGTAGCACTGATAAAACTCAGTAATTTCTTGCCTCACAGCCCAGTGTGTGGTCTGGGGTGCAAGGGGCAGCCAGCACATCATGAAGCAGGAGTGGGGAAAGTGTCGGAGGTTGTAGGGGGCAGGCAAGGCAGTGCTCACAGCCGCGGCTCGATCCTGTGCGAGAGCTCGAACAGGGCCTGCTGGCTGTCGATGACATACAGGTGGTGGACATAGGACCTCAACTCCGGATGCTCTTTCGGGGACAGGTCACTTCCTGTTGGTGGGCGTGGGGTGGGAGGGAGAAGAAGCAGACGCTGTCAAGGCCGTGGGAGTGGTGAGGTCATTTCCGAACAGCACAAAGCCCCACGTTAGGGCTCAGGCAAAACCCCACAGGTGGGTGCCGTGGGCTCAGGCCAGGCGAGCACACTGGTGGGATATTCTGCCTTCACTCCTAACATCCGGTGCTCTCTGCAAGTCAGCTTACTATCCCTCTGCACGGATGGGGATGCCAGCACAGTCACAGCCAGGACTCAGTGCTGGGTCCCGTGGCACCTGCCCCCGTGGCCCGAGTTCCCATGCTGCTGTGCAGCTGGTCATGGCATTTGGCTGCAGTTACGCAGCACGGGCTGGCTCTCCTACCTCGGTCGAGACGGTTAGAAACCACAGATCAATAATCTAGCTAGCATTTGAGCACAACAGTTTTGTTACAGCTGTTGTTATATTTTCCTTCACTTCTTTAGTTGCCCTTATGTTTTGGGAAAGAAATTGTAATGGGCCATTGGAACAGACATAATGCAAGACACAGAACACAGGATACGGCTTGACAGGCAAAGCAGGTTCTGGAAGGTTGCATAGGAGTGAGATTCCACTCAGACGGGGCCAGGCAAAGGTTTTCCACTCACAGACCCAGGGTAAGGAGAGGACCAAGGGGTCACAATGGGTTTCAGCATGCACCGTGAGCCCACGCACCACAGTCAGAACCGGCAGGAGCCAAGTGACTCGAGGCATGGGGACACTGGCTAACGCACGCTGCAGCGAGACACGGGAGATGTGTGTGATGACGCCACGAGCGCCTTCGGCTTTGTGGCATTTCAGGTGGCGGGGGTAGGATGTGACGCTGGGGCTCAGCCTGGGCAGGAGCCAGAGGACCACGGAGGCTGGGCATTTTTGGTCTTTTCCCTCCTGCATTGCTGCATTTCCTCTCTTCCCTTTTCTTTTAAAAACCGTGTTTTATGAGGAAATCGTTTGAAATCTTAACATCACAGGTAGCTTGTAACTCTTGGGTTTTATAGAAACTGATTTCTTGTTTTTAGCAGTAAAAGCTGAGGAGTTCAAAAAGCGTTTACCAGCTCCCCTCTGCCCAGTGACCACAAAGCTAATTTATTTACATCACTTCTCTGGAATTCACCCAAGAATCTGCTTTCAGTTTATGAAACATTGTTTGGGAATGCAAGATGTCATTGCAGTTCACTGTGCTGCTCATTTGTAAATCTTAAAAAACAAGAAGTAGCTCAATGAATGATGGCAACCGTAACTACCACTGCTTGCAGGGCACTTTGCAAGGGACAGGGTTAACATGAGCCTGTTTCATCCCAAATGCAGACCCCGGCTTCCTACACTCATATAAACAGCTAAACTGAATTCAGGCAGGGGTAAAGCCACCACCTGCAATGCCAGGATCCCATATGAGTGCCAGCTTGAGTCCTGGCTGCTCTACTTCCGGTCCAGGTCCCTGCTAACGCTCCTGGGGAAGCATCAGCACTTTACCTTGTGGTCACACTGGACTGGTGTCTACTTATTGAGCTCAAATTTCTAGGTTTGAATCCTCTTCTCTGCCCACAGCATCCACGAAGAGGAGAGGAAAGCATGGGTAAGGGAGGCAGGTAGACTGTGTATGGAGCTTGCCCTGCACAGACAGGGTTAATAAGTCCCTTCCTAGGGTTGCAGCCAGGATCCTGTGCCACCCCTGCCTGTGAAAGCCCCTTCCTGTCGCCACAGTTAGTTGATTTCCTTCCTTCCTGAAACGCTCTTATCCCATGGGAGCCCAGCTGTAAAGGATGCCCGAGATTGAAAAGAGACCAGATATTCCTCCACACCCTAGTCTCGGCAGGGTGTCTGTAACATGCTCAGGCTCAGGCATGAAAGGCAGCTGCGGGCAGGAAGCTCTTGCTGGAGAGGAAGAGAGTGTGGCAGCCTGCTTCAGGAACCCGAGCACACCAGCTTCCAGGAAAGGCGGCGAGTTGGCAGGTTACACGCAGGGAGCAACGCAGTTACACCCAGGTCACCTTGCTCAGAAACTGAGCGGTAATTCTAAGGCAACAGGCAAGCAAAGCAGGAGGCCAGGACTGGCTGAAGACCCTCTGCACGCCACAAATTAGATCACCAAGGGGACAGTGATCTGCCTGGTCTCATCTCTACCTCGCCAGCATGCCAAACAAGAAAACAGAACCTACTGCGGGCATACAACACGCGCCAATACGGACATGTTACGTTGCACAGTCTATCTGAATCTGTCACTCACTAAGAGCTTGGGGTCCTGGCTGACATTCTCCAGCCAAGTTTGCTTACTCACCAAACTGATTCGCCCTGCAGTGTCTCAGGGTCCGGACAGTGTCTGCAATCATGTGCTGCGAGAGAGAAGAAGAGGTGGGTCAATGGAAGGGTCGGGCTGGCGCTGCTTAGCAGTGCCTCTGAGGATGGAGGCTCTAACCCCTCGCAGGGGTCAACAGAAAAGCTATACTTGAAGCTGGTCATTGACTGATGATAATGTGCCTGGAGGATACAAGCATGGTTAGTCTTTGTCTGTGGAAAGGCAGCACCTCCCAAAGCAGATTGCAGCCTTTCTAGCCAGGCTACGGGAACAATGCATTTTATATTCATATATAAAGAACTGCCCTTTGACCCCAGTCATCCTGGTCCCAGTGGCTTTGCTCTCTGGGTGGGGGTCACCTTTTGTCCACGAAGCCCTCCCGGGCTCTCCTGGACTGGGGAGGTAAGCCACTCCATGTGGGGCCCACAGTCTAATTTTGCCATCACTGTGAGCTCTTCTCTTCCTCCTGGCAGGTGGCACCAGAGGGCTCTGCATGCCTAGGACCTATCATGCTGTCATGCACACAGCCCTGCGTGCGGATGCGGGAATTCTCACAGACCCAATGGCTTAAGATGCTGATGACATGTAAACCTTTTCCACGGGACCTTTACAGGGGTAGTTTTCTGTTTATGATGGACAGTCCTTCCTGTTGTTTTTCAGTGTTCCTATCAATTTAACCGATTTCCTTCTTTAAAGCCCTCGCATGAAACAGTTTATTGGCTTAAGGGTTAAGATGCCTACATCCCTACTGGAGAGCATGGGCCCAACCCCCACCTCCAGTTCCCATTCCAGCTTGCTACTTAAGTAGACACTGGGAGGCAGAGACGATGGCTCAAGTGACCGGGTCCCTGACACCCACAGGGAGTGCTGGATGGAGTTTCTGGCTCCCAGCTTTACTGTCAGCTCAGGCTGGGCTGTTGTGGGAATTTGGGGAGTGACTAGCAGATAAGGGTATTCTTTCTTCCCTGCCTCCATCCTCAAAAACAAACAAACAAACAAACAAACAAACAACCTGAAAACCCAAACTCATACTGGAAAGAAAATTGAAGTCACTGCCTCTATGCAGAAGTCCTTTCAAGTTTGTGGCAGCTTTTAAGAAACTCCCAGCAGCAGACACACAATATGTCTGCAACAGTCTTTTAGCCGTCTCTGTCACAATGAGAAGACGGAGCATTTGGGAGCAGACCCTTGACTGCAACTCCTTTCCATGATTGCTGGAATAAGTTCCAAATTCTATTCCACTCATCCTTGCTCAGTTGGACAATCTACAACAACTCACCACGTCATAACAAAGTCCCAGTATCATCTGACTGCTTAGAAATCAACATCATTCATTTTGTGGTGCTCCACACCTTCCCCAAAATGGGGCCACCTCTCCTTGCGTCCTGTCCACGAATGCTATGCTTTTATGGTCGGACACACGCGTAGCAATTTCAGCAGCACTGCTGAAAGAATCATCACATTAACACCAGAAAAAATAAAACCCGACAATGCCTGTAGTAAAATCCACCAGAGCCACAGAGGCATTATTCGAACGTGACCTCCTGATTAAATTGTTCCTGCGACTGTGTTTCTAATGTACTTCCACTCAATAGTGGAAAATTAAATAGGACAGTGATTACAGCGGTGGCTCAGGCTGCAGCGCTGCCAAGGAAATGAGACTTGACTAGCGTCTGCGAATGTATTGTTGTGTTTCCTCCCCTGAATCTGACCACTGCTCCCCGGAGTACTTTCTCGTGTGTTTCTGAGCTGTGGCGTCACGTCGATTTCTATCGTGTGCCATCTGCATGGCTCATAGAAGGCTGTTGCTGATGTCATCCCACACCAGCTGTGGCACTGAAACTTGAGTCCTGGTTCTCATCTGCCTTTCTAAGGGGCAGACGGACGAGCAGAGGAGAGACAGGGGAAGGTGGGGGGACAGTGCTCTCACCATGGACGGGTGAAAGGGGAGAAGCTCTTTGTTCCTTCACTGTTAGCTTGAGAAGGCAACACTGAAAGGTGCTGAGGCAGCAAGAAGCTCCACAGAGGGGAAATGAAAGAAAGCTTATTAGACAGCCACTAGCACTTGGGCACCTGCCTGGGGTCTGACTGTGCGTGCCGGCCTGTGGCAGCCAGAGGGACGTAACACACTGATATTGGAGCTGGCTTCCGTTCCTATTTGTCATGACAATTCACTTAGGTGCTATCGGGCTGTTATGGTGAAAGATGATCTCTGATCCAGCTTAAGCGAGAGCCCGTCCTCTACAGAGATCCATCTCATGGAAAACACTGTCTCTCCAAGACAAGCAAGGCCATGTGCAATCTCTGGCATCCAACAGTCACAGGCCAGAGATGAAACTGACCTTCGTGCTTGGGGACACATCCTGAGTTCGCCGGGCATGGAGTGGGCAGCATGGGGTCTGCTGTGTGTTGTGCTTGCCACTTCCCATGAGAACCAGGATCGTCTTGGGAAATAATGTGTTGCTGAGTTCCTGATGGTTTTGTGTGTGTAACGAGCCTGCTCTGCGCATGTGGCTGCACCTGCTTCTTTGTAATACAAGTTTCTGTTAAAGCATATAAAACAGAATACTGGAAGGGTGCTTCAGAAAGTTTGTGGGAAAGATAAAATTAAAAGGGGACTTTATTTTGGGGCAAGAAAATAAAAAAGAAATTGAAAGTCATGCACAGAATTTTTACCAAATGCACATTTTCCATAGACTTTTTTGATGCTGGTCTCCTAATTATAGTATTTTCTTAAGGAATGAAGCGGATACTTTTTTATTCTTCTAAGAGCAATGATATGCTTTAGATCTTGTTTCAGTCATGGTGGTGAAGTGGAGGTATTAGCATAGGCTGGTGGGATGGGAGAAATTGGGGGTGGGGAAGACCCCAGAAATGCTGGCTGGAGGGAGAAGGCTCAGGAATGGGGTAGGCATCTTTCCATAGTTCTTTCCCTTTTGTGCCTTTATGGTAATGCCAGGAACTTCACTACACCATCCGGCTGCTTGAGGGCAGAGGTCAACCACCAGTCTGTTAACAGCAGGCAACAGTGGTTTACCAAGGGCAGAAAGTAACATGGGATCCATTCCCAGCTGTGTTGGTCTGAACTGCAGCACCTATAATCCCTGAGCCCTGATGAGAAGACAGAAATGAGCTCAGACACAGGGAGGAGGCGTGGACAGTCACAGAGCCCACACTCTCTGTTTCCAACAGCAACTACGACTGGCCCAAGAGAAACTCAACCACTGTGGATAGCTCCATCAGGCTCCATACTTTTTTTTTTTTAAGAAGGGGCAAATTTTCACATGTGGGTTTCAATACTTTGCCGGTACAGTTAGTTTTTACTGTAATGTTGATCTGCCCCCATGCAACACAGGACCACGGTGACCCAATCTCCCTGTGTCCTGGGGAGAGAAGTAGGTAACCCAGGTGTTTCCTGGGGCAAAGAAGCTGGGCATGCATTGCCCCAACTGAGGGAAGGAGGAGAAATAAGGAAATTTACATACCAGCTTCTCAAAATTGACAAGGTTATCCAGGAACGTTTTATTCCCTTCATGGATGAAGGTGACATCTGAAAAAGAAAGACAAGCACCCTTAGGAATGGGTCGGGGGTCAGGGCTGATGAGGTCTACCTCAAAGCTATTTTTGCATTTAAAAAAAAATGTTCCAAAACATGCCATGTACTTGGCAAGACTTGGAAGTGAGTCTGAGCATGCAGTGCACAGTTAACCGGAACATAAAACGAGCCTCACATCACTGAATATATACATTCTGCACACATGGCGAAGCCTTCACTATCAACCTGCTTAACATTAAGTGCTGTGGTTTGCTTTTCTTAAAAACTGGACTGTCAGAGAGTATGTTGGGGGATGGGAAGGGCAGTTTCAGGGGCAGGTCCTTTTCACCTGGACACCTCGGCAACACTGTAGCTGCTTCATAGAGGGGAAGGAGCCCTGGAAGAGCAGCGAGTGGCACAGGAGTGTGCAATACACTCGCACTCTGGCATTCCCTCTGTCCAATGCTCCCGCAGGTTTGCAACCGGAGTCCCTCCCCTAGGACACGGATATAACCCGCCATGGAGCATCTGTAATGGAAGGGGTTCCAAGTCAAGCTGCCTTTTGCTCCACTGGAGCCTTCCACAACAGGGCTCTCCGCTGTGCCCTTTACACGGGAGTCCACGCCACGGAACGAACAGGGACATCCAGCGGCAAGAAGTTCCCCCAGGAAAGCAGAAAGCCAGTAGCCCTGGGGGACCTACATACTTAATAACCTGCGCAGCCACTGAGCAACTGACTCAAAGTGGAAATAAGGCATGCTCATCTGTTGCCACACCCAGTCCCCTCTAGCTTGCTCTGATGCCTCTGCCTAAAAGCAGAAACAGGAGGTGGGGAGAGGCGGGTGCACTGAGTGGGAGGAGGAGTGGGCAGGAGAGGAGAGATGTCTTTCATTCCTAGCTGAGCTGATGGTTCCAAAATATTTCAATGTAACATTAGGAACATATTATGCAATATTATACAATAATTATGCAATTATAATAATTATATAATATTATGCAATATTAAAAATCCTAAAAATTAATGTTGCATATGTTTCCCCCAATGTCTTCATTTCAGGCATGAGATGTATCTTCAAAATTTTCCTCCTAGGAGTCAACAAAATGATATAGTGGATTGAGCTGCCTCACACGGCACCAGCATCCCTCACAGGTGCTGGTTCAAATCCTGGCTGCTCCCCTTCCTATCCAGTTCCCTGCTGATGTGCCTGAGAAAGGCAGTGGAGGACGGTTCAAGTGCTTGGGCCCTAGAGCCTATGTGGGAAGCCCAGAGGAGGCTCCTGGCTTCAGTCTGGCCCAGCTCCAGTCACTGTGTCCATTCAGGCAATGAACAAATCAGTGGATGGAAAAGCTTCTCTGTAACTCTGCTTTTCAAATAAATGAAATTAATCTTTAAAAAAAAATTCCTTCGTAGGAAATCACTTTCAAAGAAAAATGGTAACTTCAGATACAAGAGTACTGATGGCAATTATTTTTAGAGTGACAATAAGGAAAAAGAAGTAAATACTTATTTAAACCCAAGGAAGCTTCTAGTGGGGAAAGAAAAAACAGAAAAAAAAGTGTTCAATTTGCTGCTTATTCTTTTGGAATGAGTGAACACATTTTCAGTAGCAAAAGGAGAAATTTCTTCTGCTGCCAACAAAGAGGGCTCCATAAAACCAGCAGAGCAGAAAATTGCATCTGTGCTAAGACCTGAGTGTGAGACATTCCACTACATTAAATATTTGGGGGAAAAAAACCCATTCATGGATGGCAAGCAGTTCTGTTCGTGTCTAATTAAGTTAAAGGGACATCATCACCAAACGTCTCATTACAGTACGGACTGCGTCTAGGTTTTTTTTTTTTTTTCTTACAATCAATTCCTTTCCCCCATCTGGCCTCACTTTTCACTGTCCCTGCTTGTGTCTAAATGATTCTAAGTGTTGTTTCCCACCTGTCACCCTCCATGCCCCACTGAAGACATTCTAGTTTGCAAATACACAGCAAGAGCCTGAGGATACTGCGCTGAAGAGCAGACATTCCAAAGCGCCAAGGAACTTGTACAGTGTTATCCTGGCGTTGCCATAGCTTCCGCTGCCCTCTGCTAACATTTCATTCTGTGTATCTCCCAACTGTCTTAATGTTGCACTCCTGCTTCTCGGGCATGCTTGCTCCATATCAGATGAAGACAAAATGAGGATCTTCCAGGGATGCAAGCTACACACAATTCTCCAAGATATGGCTGCTCTGGAGAGAAGCCATGGTGGGAGGTCTGACCTTTGCTGCCGTGGGATGAAGGGGTGGAGAGGTGGCAGGGGTAAGGAGGACCAGGTCAACAAGAAACACAATTTCCTACAGGACTCAGTCCCCCAATCTTGGGGACTGGCCCAACACCCTGAACTGCAGGGGCCTGATGAAGGATGCCTTGAAGGCATCAATGTACAAGCAAGGGAACCACCTGAAGCCCTTTTACCTGGAAGGCACTTGGGTGAAGAGTTAGCCTGCCTGCCTGTCAGATTACAGAAATCTGCCCTCTCTCCACTCTCTTTCAAAGACAATCACTGAGATTTCCCAGCACATTTCACAGACAAGCTGCAGGATGGTCTGGGACTCTGCGCAGGAGAAGTTGATGGGCTAACCTAGAGTTTTCCGAGACGTTGCCTCACTAGCAACTGGATTCCACTCCTTGGAAAAGGAAGCTTGCTCTCCACCAATAATTTTCAAACACTTTCTCGCTTGTGTTGACCAAAGCTACCGTCTCTCTCAAGAGCAAACCATGCACCAAGTCTCCAAAACGCATCTTGTGAACACGGGGCAGAATGGATCAGACACCTGAGTTCTTCATGCCAACCTGGTTCTGGGGTTGACTTGGGTGGACTGTCAACATACAAAGAGACCACCCCAGCCCTTAGAAGCAGAGTGAGATAAAATGCCAGTGGTTCCACGGCTGTTTTCTGGAAATGCTTTTAACGTTTTTTATTCAACCATTAAAGTCTCATGGGGGATTTTAAAAATAATTGAGTATTTGAAAAAGTAGCACAAACAGAATTAGGGCTCTTGGGCCTCTATCATTCTAAAGGAACCAACAATGAGTTGTTATTTTTCTTTTTCTTTTACCCTCTACACAGTCACAGAGAGAAATTTCTGGAAGCCATGATGGCACAGCACCAAAGAGAGACCATCGTTTACCTTTAAGTAGTAAGGGCATGAAAGGGATCTTGGGCGGCTTCATCTTTTTGAATGCATCCCTATAAGCTTTGTGGTTCAGAGAAGGGTCCTGTGGAAAGGAGAACACGTGAGTGTGCAACTGAGCCAATCCCAAGTCCACTTGCGCTGTGCAGACTGAATGCAATTTGCACGGGCAGAAGCAAGCTCAAGCTCTCTGAGAGTACACTCAGTAAATGAGGGCAGGGAGCGTAGGCCGTGAATGAATCGCCGTCTCTGGCTTACAATAGGGGGAAACAGCTGGAAGGAGACACCTCGGGGAGCCCCATTATTCCCACTCAGTGCGGTTTCCTCCGTGGACTTTTCTATGGTGAGTTCACCCCAGGGTCTTTTGTTAGGTGCCTGGCAAAGCGAAACTGTCCTCGTCAGCTGATAGCCCACTGTTTTCCTGGAGGAAATGAGGCATTCTGGAGAGAGAAAACTGCCCGAGGGAGAGGGCGACAGTGCCAGCCCAAGATACACGCTGCACGCGGACTGGGGCCCCAGGCTTTGCCAGGAGTCAGCTTCCAACCTGCCTTCTGTATGTCACACAGAAGGACAGTTCTCTGGCTGGTTGACGCTGGACAGGAAGCGGCTCAATCGCTGCCTCCCCTTGCCGGAGAAGCAGGGGAAGGTGAGGTGGCAGTGAGGCATCGTGTTCCCAGACAAGCAGGCCCATCTGAGTTCACCATGCCAAAAAGTGCGGTGCAGAGATCTGGAGACAGGGCGTGCTCAATGACTTACTGTTAAGCTTTCAAGCTCAGAAAAAAGTTTCTTAAACTTCCCGGGGATTTTCTGAAAAAATGAAGAGAGAAAGGTCAAGGAAGTCAGCTATTCTGAGAGGCGCAGGGGGAGTTTTCTGTCATTTGTGCCTACCTGTGGGATTTTTTTTTTTAACACAAATATCTTACCTGTCCCTGCCCTGATTGTTTCTCATTATGCAATCTGTGTTGCCCCCTCACTGGGGCCTACCTTAGGAAAGCTGCTACAAGCAGGTTAGCCTAATAATCACATGGTTCAGGAGGCCAGCTGGTTATGCATCTCATGCATTGCTGACAATTTCATGAACACAGAGCTGGTGGCCTCCTATGTGGCTCTGATGAATGCTCTCATGGTCATTGTCAGCTGACAGTTTAACCAAACTACGTGTGGCCTGTGTCTCACAGCACAGGGGCTGACTTGGGAGGGGCCAGGAAGACCCTAGGGTGATGAGGCCTCTGCTTGAATGGGCTCACTCACTGAACTGCAGAGCTTGATGCCATCAACAGGTGACAAGAGAACAGCTGAGGAGGGCAATGGATGAGCGCATGCATGGACCCAGGGAAGAAGGGCCTGGATTGTTCTGGCTGCCTCTAACACAAGTTGGAGGAAAACTGGATGCTGTTTGCACTGCCTTTACCACCTGTGACCCTGGCTGTCTCAGGCTGGCTGGCCGGCTCCCCATCTGTCTCCACGCCTGCCAAGATTTTGAGGAAACGGGAGTCAACTTAACAAAACACGCACACCCGGGGCTGAGGCTCAGCAAAATCCAGCTGTTAACACAGCCAACAATGGTGTTCATGGGGACAGCTGTGAAAGTGTCTGTTTCTAAGATGAAGCCAAGCAAGGAGGTAACAGCCAGGCTTCTATGCGATTGAGAGGCGCATCCGATCACTGGAGATCCGAACTCAATGTGTGACAGCCGACAGGTACTTGGCTGCTTGGAAGGCAGCTATGCTCACTGCTATGCCACCAATGCCACCTTGACTTGGCTTGGCAACACCCACACATCTGCCTCCTACTGCTTCTATATAAGAGTGGAGGACAAACTAAATAAAAAGTACAATGTGGACACCTGCAACCAACCCCAGTCTCTCCCCTTTGCTGGGGGTTCAGCTCTGGTGGACAAATCACATACATTTGGTGGCACCCCAATCTCAACGGGGGTCAGTCAAACTGACTCACTCTGGGGGTTGATTGTGGATAAAAGCCAACAACTTGGGGTCTCTGATCTAGTTTCTCCACTCTACTCCTTTTTCCCAGGACCCAGCTGGGACCATATAAGTACCTTCATTCCCTGGGTACCACTCACCCTAAAGAAACTGTGATTCTGTCTGCCTGGGATGCTGAGCAACTTCCAGCTCAGCCTGCAAGGCTCTCTGCCGCTCCAAGCTTCTAGCTAGATGTTCCTGAGCTGCCCCATGCCTTGGGACTCAGACCTAGGATCTGGAAGGCATCCGCTTCCTATCCATCTTAGCATGGAGACCAAGTACAGACTCTATAGAAGTTACGGGAGTTTAACTGAATGACTACTGCCCCTGTCCCCCAACCATGTCTGCAAATCAAAGTGTCTTTCAAAGTTTAATTCAAATGCCACTCCCCGTAGGCCCTTGCGAGCCATCTGTCTTTGCCCCGCCTGATCAATGGTGGCACCTGCACCCATCCTTTTCAATCCCAGGAGGTACATGGGCCCTTGTTTGCTGAGGCAAGGCAGGCACACTTTTCACTTCTTTGCTTTAGAACCTTTTACAAGGAGGCTCTGGGGCAGTGCTTGGGTCAGTGTTCGAGTTGGTTCTCACGCAGGATATAGAGTGAACCTGGAGTCTACCCTGAGACCTGCAGGCAGGCCCACTGCCACAGTCAGAGCCTAGGGAGGAGGGTGCAGAGAGAATGCTGTGGTTGGGAGGATAGAAACTGCAGAGGAGAGGGGACAGGGCTAAGGAGACAGCTGGCTAGAACCAGAAGGGTTCAGGGCTAAAGAGACAGGAAGGAAGAGGGAGAGGATAGCTCATCAGAGTGGGTGACAGAAAGCTATGGGAAGGAAGCTCAAGGGAAGCAGGGCTGGACTGGGGGCAGGCCAGGGAGTCCCCCGTGTGTGCCGGGGTCAGTGCACGGAGGCCCCTGCTGTGGATGCTTCCACGTCCACAGCACTTTAAAGACGCAGTCTGCATGATCATTTTGGTGCTAACAATCTCACAAAGACTGCAGCCTACTTTCTCACATTGCAAATGGCACAGTGGAGCTACTTCTGCCTGCTCATGGCCACTGCGGAACCATGCCCGCTCCCCCAGTCCCCAAGCTCTGTAGGGGAGCTGCCTCTGATGAGGCCACATTTGGCTGTCTGTATCCCTTCGCCACAACTCAGAGAACCACCTTAAGAGCCTTTCGAATCTGATGGAAGGGCCGCCTACTGCCACCCCAACACTTTCCTTCTGGAGTTTTCGCCCAGGATGCGTGGCTCCTTCACAAGAGGTTCTCTCTGGATAGCTGTCTTAGCAGCTCAGTCCACCTCCCCCTCTGCATCCCTACCTGGGGGTGCTGGGGAAGGCAGCCTTACCTCCCAGGTCTGCGCCAGGCGGCTGACAGATGCCGTGTTGAGGCCCATCACGATGGCAAAGAAGGAGTTCAGGTTCCGCTGGGCCTTGCAACTGTGCAGTGGGGGAACAGAGAGGGTGACTGAGGAACCCAGGCCGAAGGCTGAAGCCCTCCCCTCCCAGCGCCCCACCTGCTGAAGTCCCCACCCCCTCCCCGCCGACCCCCGCATCCTCTGCCGTTCCCTTGGCGAGGAGAGACTGCCCACCTTCAGATCTGGGCACCTGGCACCCTCCTTGGTGATGATCTAGTTTGTGTTTGTACCTTTGAGGAATGCGCTTTCGAAGTCATATCTTGCTGACACGCGCCAGGCTCTCATTCTTTGGTCCCCTCTTGGATCAACTTATATATTTTAAAATCCTTTGTAGCTCTTTTGTTTGTATGTGTTATTTTAAAATAAAGATTTATTTTATTTGGAAGGCAGAGTTTAGGAGAGAGATCTTCTCGTTTGCTGGTTCATCTCCAAATGGACACAACAGTTGGGGGCCGGGTCAGGTCAAGGCCAGGAGTTCTACCTGGGTGTTCCAGGCAGGGAGCAAGGGCCCAAGCACTTCTCTATCCTCCACTGCTTTCCCAGGTGCAGGAGCAGGGAGTGGAGCAGCCTGGATCTGTACCCACATGCTGACACTGCAGGAGGTGGCTGACCTGCTGCACCCCATTACGGGGCAGCCATACTCTACTCCTCATTATTTTAATGTATTCATTTTTATTGGGAAGTCAGATATACACAGAGGAGGAGAGACAGAGAGGAAGATCCTCCGTCTGCTGATTCACTCTCCAAGTGGACGCAATGGCCAGAGCTGAGCTGATCCAAAGCTAGGAGCCAGGAGCTTCTTCCCAGTCTCCTATATGGGTGCAGGGTCCCAAGGCCTTGGGTCATCATCGACTGCTTTCCCAGGCCACAAGCAGGGAGCTGGATGAGAAGTGGAGCAACCAGGACACAAACCAGTGCCCATATGGGATCCCGGGGAGGACTTTAGCCACTAGGCTATTGCACAGGGCCATCTAATCCCAACCTTAATAGCCCCCTGGGGCCTACTCCCCTCACAGGGATGTGCAACCCCCTACTAGTGACATCTAGGCACACTCCTGCCCTGCTGTGTGGATGTTTAAAGCTCAGTACACATTACAGGGGTCCTGCCCCACATTTCTCATAGATACAATGAGGAAACACAAAACAAAAGATCACGTTGAGTCCCACGCACTCCATCCTGCATCACATTTGTTCTGGCCTTAGAGTCAGCTGGTCAAGATGCTACTGATTGTCAAGATGCGGGTTTGGGGGACAGCAGGGACACCCTGAGAATTCCATCCTCCATGTGAGGGCCACCAGAATAAGCCCTTAGAGGTGAGGCACTGAAATTAGGGAGTTGGGAGCAGGTGATTCAGTGTGGCATGTCTGTAATGACGTTCATATGAAGGCCATGGTGTGGTGTAGCGAGTTAACGACATTCATATGGGTGCTGATTCGAGTCCCAGCTGCTCCATTTTCCATCCAGCTCCTTGCTAGTGCATCTGGGAGAGCAGTGGAGGATGGCCCAAGTGCTTGGGCCCCTGCCACCCATGTGGGAGACCTGGATGGAGCTTCAGCCAGGCCCAGCACCAAACCACTGGGACTGAATCAGTGGGTGAGAGATGCCCCCCCTCTCTCTTTCCACTTCTCTATGTAACTCTACCTTTGAAATAATGAAAAAGTCAATCTAAGAGAAAGTGAAAGAGTGAACATCCATCCACTTTGTTCACTCAAATGCCTGCATCAACCAGGGCTGGGCAATGTTGAAGGCAGTAACCAGAAACTCAGTGACAGGAACCCAAGCTCTCGGGCCCCCACCTGCTGCCCCATCGGAAGCTGGACTGGCAGCAGAGGCAGGACCATGCCCCAGACTCTCAGAGAGGCACCATGTGCGGAGCATTAACCAGTGGATGGTTAACCTGCTGAGCCACCTTAAATGATACATTACTAGGAAAACCATGATTCCTCCTTTCATTTAAGTCATTGTGACTCTGAGACACAATTCCTTTCTCTGTATCCTTCAGCTCCCCATCAACAATGTCGACACAAAACACACAGAGAGCTACTGTCTGAATCTGTTAAAAAAGAAAAGAACTGATACAGAGATAGTTTCTGATACGGTGCGAATGGCAGATACCATTCCAGCGTGGAATCCTGTTGCCCGGGGTTATCGGCTGCCTGGCAGAAGAGACACACGCAGCAAACCCTGCTTTGTCTGTGAGAGGAAGACAAATCACTCCATCCTCAGTGGTGGGGGGAGGGGATGGGAAAGTGGGGAGAGGGGAAAGACATGAATATGCAAATGTTGCCTTGGGCAGGGGGAGAAGACTTTGTGATGGTGGAAATTACTGTTTTCCCCGGGTTCTTCCTAACTGAGTGATTATAAGGAACTTAGCTGGATGCGTCTGTTGGCACACAATCCCTTCCCAGGGGCTGGGGGACAGAGATCAGCACCATAAATAATTCAAGAGCTTGGGGCAGGACGGAGAAGACGCGAATCTCCCCCAGGACAGACTTGATCTTACAGGGGGAGTGGAGCTGCTGATGGGATTTCACTCCTTGCAACATGGCTGTCCCACTTCTCCGCAGTAACTGGCATTTGTAAGAGAGCTGTGTTTTGCAGGACTTCCAAAGGACATTTTAGAATAATGAAAAAGGGGGTGGGGAGGAGCGTGTATAAATGGTACCAGATGGAGGTGGATGTGTTAGCCACTGGCCTACCCTCACCCGCTGCCTCAGGCTCATCAAACACCAGGCCAGGCCTTCCCAGCATGTCTCGACCTGTTAGATCCCAGTCTCTGTTGCTTCTGGAGCAGCCTTCCTGTAGGATGGCCCTCACCACATCGGTGTCTTGTCCTAAACCGTTTAAAGGATCCCTTCTATCCTCTCGACTCAGTTCCAGCTCTTCAATCTGAAAGTCAAGCCCCGTCATGGTTTGGTCCCAGCTTCCTTTGTTCATAATCTTCTAAACTGCCCTTGATGCCTGGAGGTTTCCTCCTGGGTCACAGGCCCTTCCATCTCTGGCCACTAAATCGTCCCTGAGGCCTTGCTCTTTTAAACCCTGACCTGTCCAATTCACAGTTCACCCATGGGCTCCAGGTGGGTCCCCAAGTGCTGCATCCTTCCCTGATATATCCTGGTCTCCCTATCCACACTCCCTCCAGAAATGGATCTCACACAGAGGAGGGCACTCCCTTGTCCTACCCTACACATCAGGTGGAGAAAGTTCCATGGGGGCAGGAGTCAGATATGGATTGCTCTGTTTCCCACAGACACCTGTATTTGTAATGAAGCACCAATACACATTTTCTAAGAAGTCTGCCATGAGAGGCACTTGAACACATTAGACTCAAAAGCTACTTTGCCCCCCTCCCACGCCCCTGTCCTACAGGTGACACAGCGTTTAAGCCACTGCCTATGATACTGGCATCCCACATGGACAGCAGTTCGGATCCTGACTGTTCTACTTCTGACCCAGCTCCTTGCTAAAGTGCCTGAGCAAGCAGTAGAGGTTGACACGAGTCCTTGGGCCCCTGCCACGCACATGGGAGACCTGGAAGAAATTTCTGGCTCCGGGCTTTGACCTGGCCGAGTCCTGATCATTATGGCCACTTGGGAAGTGCACCAGTGGACAGAAGATCTCTCTCTCTTCCAACTTCTCTCTCTAACTCTGCCTTTCAAACAAACAAATGCATACATCATTTAAAAACTACTTAAGAAGACACAATGAGAAATAAACCAGGAAGCCTGGGAGGCCAAAGGGATGAGGGAAGATGTTGCTCCTGCAGCCTGCTTATCCCTGGAGCCTTCTACAGGTGGGACTTGGGTTATAGGTCCAGTGTTGGAGGACAAGTTTCCAAGTAAGTTACTGAAATTTTACTCAACCCATATGTACTGAGTTGTTGCTGTTTCTTTAGCTCAGAAGCAGCCTCCCAGGTCCTGAGAAATGTTTGCTATCCTTCAGAAGCCAACACAGCTCAGTGTGATACATTTCTGCATAAACAGCTATATTTAACGCATCAAACTTTTAAAAAACTGAAGCGGGAGGGGATGCCTGCGCTGTGGTGTAGTGGGTAGGTGGTCACCTTCATTGCCTAGATCCCATATGGGTATCACTTTGAGTCCTGGCTGCTCCACTTCCCATCCAGCTCCCTGAAAATGTGTCTGAGAAAGTAGTGAAAGATACCCCCATTCCTTGGGTTCCTGCACCCAGGTGGGAGACCCAGAGGAAGCTCCAGGCTCCTGGCTTTGGACTGGCCTAGCTACGGCCATTGCAGCTATTTGGGGAGTAAACCGATGGATGAAAAATTTCTTTCTCTGTCTTTCAAATAAATGAAAAATAATTAAAAAAATCATGGAGCATATGTGTATATAGAGGGGAGGTAGTTAGCCCAGCACCTGGAAGACAGGGACCAGTTCAGGAAGGAAAGGACATTTGACTGAGGTCATGCAGAATGGCAGCAATTCACTTGATGGAAATGGCCATTTCTGACCCAGGCTGTACAAGCGTCCAGGCCTGGAGGATGGCATGTATGGGAGTGGGGTATTCAGAGTGGCCAGAGCCTGGGATGTACCAGGGGGTGAGACTAGGGGTAAGGTAGGGCAAGTCATGGCAGGACTTGGTGAGCCAGGAGCTTGCCCAGGCCCACTTGTGGGCTTTTAGGAGCTGTGTTCAGAATCCCGGAATGTGCCGTTTTCAGCACCCCCGTCCTCTCTCATCGCTGCACCCCAGTTTTCTTGTCTGTTCTAGGTTGAACAGCTGCAAGGATGGCTGTGTACCACCTGCTTCCTTGCTCTAAGCCCACAGCACAGAATCCCTCTGGCATTCTGACATTTACTTGAGGACAGAAATGCCTGAATGGCAAAGTCAGGAGTATCCAAAGATGGGCCTTTTGAGCCATGTGGTTAACTTAACTCAACAGCATACTTCCACATCCCCTGACTTTTCATCACCATGAGGAGGAGGAGAAAAAGCAAGCAGACAAACAAACAAAAACAACCCAGGGTACACTCTGTCGGAGGCGGGAGAAGCAGCTTCCCACACTTACTGCGCTGCAATCTTGATGAATTTCTTCACCAGCTGCACGCGCTTGCCCAGCTGGCTGCAGAGCAGGATTTCTGTGGCCACCCAGAGCTGCAGCTCATTGCACCTCTGCAGCAGCAGGCTGAGGTTCACCGTGTGCGCCCCGCTTCCCTGCCTGCTGAATGTGAAGTAGATCAGCTCTTGCTGGAAGAAAACAGATGCACACCAGGGCTTCACGTGGGGCACGGTCAAGGTCTACGTGCTAATAACCAAATTCCCATGGCCACTCCCACACCACCACTACCTCAACAGATGATAGCCCATCATCCCAGCCCAAGCACAAAAGGATGCCATTTTTTGCCTTACTGGGGCCTCTTTCAATAATGTTCACCCAGAATCTTTGCCCAAGAGTCATTTTTTTTTTACTTTCAGAATGTAGGGAAGACATCTCTTGTACTCACAAGAGTACAAGAGAAGTGGGAGGAGGATGGAATTCTCAAGTTTAAGTTAGAGATCAAGTGGAGCCCTCAAACTTTCCACCCTCAACCTGCTGGAAAATACTAAGCGTAAGGGAGCACTGGAACGATGAGTGTTTTTTCAGGTGCACATCGGATGCATGCAAGGGTCCTGACAGCACGGTGTGCGTTAGGGATGCACCTGCAGGAAGGTGACAGCACCGATCACTGGGCCCCAGCTGTGGAAGCTCTCCTTCAGCAGATATGTGGAGGGGCTGGTAAGAGGCTACAGGCTCCCAGGGTGACGCTGGTGATGCTGGCCTGGGCGCTGTCTCCATGGTATAGTCAAACTGTGACTGGGACGGCTCTGAGATGTGGGCAAGGTGCAGGCATTTATGAACGCAAGTAGTAGGCTGTTTACCCAGCCTGATCACACATCAAGGAAGGGGTCTGGTTTTAAATGATGAGTGTGTGTTCAGCAGACGTAGTCCATGTTCCCCGACTGAACAGGCAGGGGACATCACACTCCATTAACACGTTCAGCCACAAGTGAAGGCACTGTTTGCTGAAAATCAGAGCGTGATGTTGACTTTTAAGTGAGAAATCGTGAGGACACAGAGAAGACACTAAATGATGCCACACTATGAGAGAGATGCTTTAAGGTCCCCAAGTTGCTAACGTGGGCATGAGGTTCCTTCTACGGAAGGAGAGGCCATTCCAGAAGTTAGAAATTTCACTGCGTGGCAAAACCAAAATGATGCTATGGCCCTCGGGGGCTCCGATGTTTTTCATCTCCTGATTCCTGTGAGACCTCACATTGCCCAAATGCACTCATTAGCTGTCATTAGCATTTTGTTCCTGATGCAGTGTTTTATAAATGCTATAATGTGCTCTCAAAGGGAAAACAGATGAGTCTTTAAAAATCTGAAATACATGCAAAATTGGGAAGACAGCACGGTCTAATTTTACGGAATACTCTGAAGTAAATGGCTACAAGCAGGAAAAATAAAACTGCCAATATCAAAGGAAAAAGCAGTTCCTCCACTTCATTCATAGCTTCATACAGATTTATCCATTCATGTGTGCATCCATGAACAAGTACAAATCGAGCAGGTCCTTGCACTCTCCAAGAGAAGTCAGTCAAACATGACCATAAAGTGCGATTTTCCTAGGACTGGGTCAGTGTGTGACTGTCTTTTCAAGCTGCAAATACCTTTCGAACCACACTGTCCCATCTTAGCACCACGCACACACACGTACATATTTTCCAAAAAAGAGTCTCCAGTAAAAATCAGCATCTACACTTCTGTCCCTGACTCCTCAGCACTCACCTCGTGGATCGAGTTGAAGAGACTCCAGTCGAAGTTCATCAACTCCAAAGCCAGGTCCCAAGTGTTCATTCCTAAAATCCTCACTGACCTCTGCTGTGCCTCCTCATTTTCCGCAAACGGGTTCTAAAGGGGATGGAGCAGAGAGAGGAGCAAGGCGGCTTGTTCAGTCATTCCTGGACTGCTTTGCGCTGCATTGGCAGGGCCAGTCCTGGAAGGCACCAGAAGTCCAGATTAGAAGTGCAATTTTAATTTATTGTCATTTTTTTTTCCATGAGTGCACTTGGTATTTTCCTTGGTCCGTGCACCTTCAGCGAGTTTCGGCCAATTCAGGAAGAGGGTCCTGGTGGTGGCAGACACTTCCCAGAGCGGGCTCTGCATCTTCCTCTCCCCTCCCCCTCCTTCGCTCTCCCCCCTGACAGATCTGATTATAAAGCCCTGCCGGCAGCCAGCAGAATGAAAGTGAAAGCCCTGAGATCCCTTTGGCTTCTGGTATGAATTAATGTGCCAGCAGGGCGAGTATAAAAACAAACAAAAGAAAAATGTCACGGAGCACTTCAATAAAGACAGACAGGGCTTTTTACAGGAAATCTGTTTAACAAGCCTCGTCCCAGACAGAGTTACAGACCTTATTAACATGCCCGTGCAAAGCGAACATGCTTCACACGAAACACAAAATACAAGTTGTTTCCTGGAGACCTCCGGAAGAGGATTACTGTCCTCAGGGAAACAGGAGCAAACTGCTTAAGAGTGCCTGGGAACACTTCGGCTGCGGGAGAGATGAAATGCCACCGCCACTTTATATCTGCTGTCCCTGTCAGCGACTTACTTGCCACCTTCCCAAAATGTTGGGTATTTGAAAATGAAAATATTAATTCACTCTTCTGAGGGGTTGGACTTGACTAGTTCGTGAGCTAAAAGCAGGAAAGAGCTGGGGACATTGCAAAGACAAGGGACATGATAAAGCAAATATTTCAGATGCCAAATATGGCCTGAACTAGGAAATAAAAAGGGTTCGATTTTACTAGTTTTACATGTAAGGAAAAAAATTTCCTAAAACACACACATGCACATACACATGGGCACAGAGACACACCATGGAACGGCTCTGCCTACACACTTGGGTCTCTCCAGAGCAGATCAGGTACAAAAAAAGCGTCCTGTGTGCCCAGCATGGGACCTAGTGCAGCAGGGGCAATGGAAAGGAGACTCCTCTTTGAGGTTGGCTCTGGACAGCGGCAGAGACAGCGAGCATCATCTCCATGCTAGGCACCCCGTGGGCCTGCTGCAGGGATGGCATGCCCCAAGACTTGTACACGGCGCAGGAGGGTGCAGCAGCCAAGGCCCATGGTTGACATGGTTCCCTCTCCTTGTTTTCATTGTGCACACGAGCAGCACAGTGTGTGCAGTGTGTGCAGAGCATCAGGGTCACGCATGGCTGGGCTGATAATCGCTGCGTCCTCCCTGACTTGGCTGTCGCTGGAGAACGTGGCCCAGCCTTTCTGAACTGCCTGTAAACCACAGCAGCACATTTGCGTCTGGCAGTACAGCGTGGAAATCGACAGTGGTGAGCAGTACTACAGCAGCAAGAGTGGCTGCAGATACCATCATCAAACGCACTTTTGATTACAGCACTTCTGCCTCATCTGTGTGGCAGGCAGATTTCTGGATTCTGGACATAGCAGGACATCTGTGAGTTCATGCAAGATGGAATTAAAAGGTAAGTTTGTTTTGCTGCAAAACGGAACAACGAAAACCACAACTCTCTGAAATTTGTGCAGTTTTTTCGTGGTGCATGTTTTTCGTGAGCTTTTGAGGAGCCCTTGTGTGCAGCAGGAGCTGGCCGGAAGGACCAACCCAGCGGCAACTTGCCCAAGGTGGGAAGCTGGAGTCCAGATGACAAGCTTGCTGCCTGCTGCAGCCTGGCCTTTCTAGACTTTGGAAGGTTCCGAGGGCCAGGGTCCCAGGATACAGGAAGCAATCAGGGTCTGTGGGAACAGCTCAACAATGGGAAAAGCATCCACTCAGACACAATCTTCAATTCCACTGAAAATTAGACCATGTATGGGAACTACATCTTGTCAGTATCCCAGCTTTGGTGATGGTGCTTGGTTCTCACAGGAAAAGCTGCAGGCACCCCCTCCCCCCACCCCGACTTTCCTCAAGTAAGTAGAATATTCCAGTTGCACCAGAGGCACTGAATGGAAGGCCATGAACCCTTCCCCCTAGCCCCACCGAGATGCGGGTCTTGGCCTGAGTGCTATAGACCCCCTAAAGGAGAGGAAATGGAGTCAAAGCTCCCCAAGTGATGCAGGAGAACCCTGTAGATCTCTGGTTTCAGGGGCTCGGGAAGGGCTTTAATCTGAGGAAAGGGGCTTGGAATTCCCTCAGCTGGAGCTTCAGCTGCACCAGTGGCGCTATGTGGCGAGTGTATCACTGACTGGAAGGGAAAATAGTTTAACACGTCATTTACGTTAGAGCAAGGTAGAAATGTGTGTTGAGCCTGACATGAAGGTGAGTATTTCAAGCACAAGGCCAACCTTACCAAGGTGTCAGCCAGGTCCTTCCGGTAGACGTATAGCCGGCCAGATGCTTCGACAGATTTGGAGACAGCCAAGTCATGTGGCTGAAGTTCATGCTTTTCTTTATTTAAAAAGAAAAAAAAAAGTGTAGTGAGAAATACAACAGTTTAAACTTGAGTGGACAAAAAGAAAAAAAACTCATGGTCATTTCATTTTGAAAAGAGTATAAAACATTGTTTATCAGATGCTCAACCAACTAATCCTCCACTTTCAAGTGCTGGCATCCCACATGGGTGTTAGCTCAAGTCCCAATTGCTCCACTTCCTTCCGGCTCCCTGCTAATGCACCTGGGAAAGCAGAGGAAGATGGTTCAAGTCCTTGGGCCTCTGTGCCTTATAGGGGTGACCTGGAGGAAGTTTCTGGCTTCTGGCTTCAAATTGGCTCAGCTCTGGCCATTGTGGCCCTTTGGAGAGTGAACCAGCCAATGGGAGATCTTTTTCTCTGTGTCTCTCCTTCTCTGTAACTCTGCCCTTTCAAATAAAAATAAAAGCTCTCAAAAATGATTTCGTTAAATAGGGCAGATATTTGACCTAGCAGTTCAGGCTGCTAGTTGGGATGCCCACAGCTCATCTCGGGGTGCCTGGGTTCGAGCCGTGACTCTGGTGTGGATTCCAGCTTCTTGCTAATGAGCCCCTTGGAGGCAGCAAATGATGGAACGTGATGGTGACTGGGTCCCAGCTGCTCACCAAGGATATCTGGATTAAATTCCTGGCTGCCAGCTTCCACCTGGCCCGATCCTCGGGCATTTGGTAAGTACACCTCTGCATGGCAGATTTGTTTGTCTCTGTCTCCCTACTAAATAAATACATTATGTTACTGGAACAAGGCATGCACTAAGTTGTTTTCCTCCCTTTATTGCAACTGTCTCAGAGGTAAGATGCAGGCGGAGTGGCAAATGGATGGAAGACCCATTTCCAAATCTGTGGGCTCATCCAAGAGATAAGCTGATTATTCCTAGTGACGATTAGTGACGGGTCTGGACCCTCCATTGCTCACCCTGATGAATCTAACGTAATAGAGTGTGAAAATGGTATTTCACAGTCATCAGAGATGCTGGCTGGCAAAAGAGCTGCCCATTAACCGGCAGATGCTCATGTGGCCCTGGGGTGTCCGGAGTCAGCTCCTGGGAGACAGCTCTTAGTGTCCCTGCTAAGTGTCCTGTCCACTTTTATCATCTCTATCTGCAATCTGTTAGGAAAGATGCAGCCATGCCCTGATGACGTGGAGCAGTATCCTGCCACATAAGACCTCAATGCCAGATACAGTCTGAGGACAAACAAAGGGTCCACGTGAAGGCTGTGCTGCCCCGTCCCTGTGGCCTCATCTCCGGCTGACCGGCCTGCAGGGTACTCCTGTTAGCCAGTCACTGGAGCTGGGTCACGTTCCCATGGTTAATGAGATGGTAAATAAAGAAGGCCTGTCCAAAAGGAGGCTGGTGACACTGAGATGTGACAGGCCCCAGAGAAAGCCACAGGGTCTGTTCAGGCTGCTTGGATCAATAGTGTCGCAGCTTGTAATCCCTGTGACTGGATTCAAAACAGACAATAACCCATCGTCTGAAGGTGAAGAAGAGGGCCCCGCAGTAGGAGCTGCTAGTCAGGCCTCACTGCGCGTGTGCACCTGCAGGGAAGCGGCTGTGTGGACTCCTGGTTTACTGTATTGTTTTGCTGTCTTCCAACTGGGAGTCTTTAAGTATTAAATTGTCACCTGGTGGACTTGTACAATTGGTTATGGACTTGTACAATGCTTTTTTTTTTTTCTTCTCCTAAAGTAATTCTATCCTTTAGCAATTTCCCAAATCAATTTACAGAAAACAGAGGACTTATCTAGAACCCAAAATACAAAAAAAAAGAAAAAAAACCCACTAAAAACAAACATAAACCACATAAACCACCGGCCCCCCAATAAACAAAAACCAAAAAGCCTTTTAATGAATTTCAGAAACATGGGGCATGCCTCCCAGATTCAGTTCCTGGGAGAAAACACAGCTTCAGGCAGCACCCAGTCGTTGCCATGGAAACACCGCTGTGAGGTGGTGCCTCCTTGTTACCAAGGTTTTCCAGCTGTGGGCCTGGCAGAGGCCTCATCAGGGACAGGGGAGCAACTCACCCCCGGAGAATGAGATGGCCACCAAAGCCAGTTCTTCTTGCACGGGATGGATCTTTTCGGCTACCACTTTCAGGATCTCCTGGGCCGTGCTGGAAACCTTGGCCCTCACGCTGACGTAGGAGTGCTCCGTTATATACACATGGCAAAAAACTGCAGAGGAGAGCATTGTTGGTGAGCAGAGAAGTTCAGTCGCTGGTTACAGTGTGTTCCATCTAGGGCACCTACCTCACTACTCTGCTCTCTTTGTTTTTAAATATAGGTTGACTGGAGAGAAAGAGAGAATCTGGGGGAAGACAGGGAGATCTTTCGCTGGCTGTTTCACTCCCGCAATGGCAGCAACAGCCAGGGGTTGGACCAGGTTGAAGTCAAGAATCTGAAACCATCTAGGTTTCCCGTGTGCACAGCAGGGCTTCAAGCATTTGGGCCATTGCCTGTTGCCTGAGAGCATCAGCAGCAGGGAGTTGGATCACAAGTGGAACACATACATCTTGATTTTGTGCTCATATAGGACGGTTGGTAACGCAGATGGTGAGTGGCTTAACCTACAACACCACAGCATGGGCCACTTCGCCCATTTTTATCCAACAGTGAACAGTGAAATTGATCTACTGACGTGTGTGTCAGTTGTGGGGTTGCATGTCCGTCAGCATGTGGACGTACCAGTGAGATGAGGGCATTGTAAGGCTGGTAGATAAGCATGGACAGACTTAGGCGCTACTGTAAGGCTGCGGAAGAGACCAGAGCCTATGTCAAATGTCCAACTCTTGCATCTTAATCTGACACTCGGTTTCAGAACAGGCTCACTGACCCTGGCCAGAGCACACCGCCTGGCCAGGAGAAGGTACAGAAGCTTCTCTGAGACTCTGGCATCAGCTTTCCCCATCACAGAAGGATGGCAACCCCTTCTCTCCCTGCGAGCGGAGGATGAATTCTCTTGCCAAATGGTGGGGGTGGCAGTGGAGGGTGTCACATTCCCAGCCTTTGTAAATTTCCTTCTAATTGTCCGTGGTGCTGATTTTTATGATGATCATCCTCCCACCATTAGGGTGGAAAGATCCCTGGGAAATCTTTATGATTCTGAACATCAGAAACTGTTTTAATGGTGACAGAAACCATCGTAATATTACTTGCTGTACCTACTCCCCTGAAGGTATGAAACACCAGCTTCATCATAATACAGAGAAGGATACCCTTAGATATTCTGCTCTTCTGTAACACTTGAGATTTCAGCTTCTAGGAGAACCTTCTCGGTGGTTTCCAGGGCACCACAAAAATAAGTTCAGGGATGTTTTCAGGGATGATGTAAACAGAGCAAATGTTGGCCTGTGGCACGTGTGGACGGAACCTCAAAGGAAACACACCACCAGGAAGCCCTGGGAGAATCGAGGGTTCCACTGTGTGCGTCCTAGTGCAATGGCATTTCAGAAGCAGATGTTTTGATTTCTGTCAACTCTACTTGTGCGTGTTAAAACAAAGACTTCCCTCCTTCCATGGAACAATGAAATTGCTAAAGCAGGGCAAAGACCTAGGGCCTGGGGCATAGCCTAGTAGCTAAAGTCCTTACTTTGCATGCACTGGGAGCCCATTGAGGCACCAGTTCCTATCCTGGCTGCTCCACTTCCCTTCCAGCTCCCTGCTTGTGACTGGGAAAGCAGTAGAGGATGGCTCAAAGCCTTGGAACCCTGCACCCACATGCAAGACCTGGAAGAAACTCCTGGTTTCGGATAGACTCAGGTCCAACCATTGAGGCACTTGAGGAATGAACCAGAGGATGGAAGATATCTTTCTTTGTCTCCCCTTCTATAAATCTGATTTTCCAATATAAATAAATAAAGGCATGGGAAAGATCCAGTCTACAGACTACTTCTGTAAGGCACAAGGTTGCTTGGTAAACCAATGAACAAGGTCAGAGCCACTGAAATACTGAGTCTCCTTGATGCTCAGCCAGGAAAGCTATATACTTGTGAGACAAAACGAGCAAGGAAGGTCAAAGACAAATGCATTAAGAGGTGAGCTAATTTCATCTGCTCCTTGACTTGGGCCAGATGACACTTCAAACAGGCTATATTCCTTCTCTGAGGGACACAATCTACAAACACCAGGGGACAGCAAAAGCCATCTTGTGACTCTGTGTTTTCTTAAATGTTCAAGAAATCAAGAAAGTCCCAAGGTGGCCATAATCTAAACACTGGAGCGCCCTGTTTCCCTGCTCCCCACTTGACTCAAATTTTATCTAAACAGGAGGAAACCACTGCTACTGATCTTGTCCCCTTACGAAGTAGCAAAGTAACAAAGGAATGCAGCATCAGCACCTTTGGGTGCTCAAGAGGTGCTTCCTCTTGCAATGCATGGACATCCCTCTTTGGCAGAGGTGGGAAGGGCACAACCTGCCTTCTGCCCCATTGGGCACTAATGAGCACCGACAGAGACTGTGCTGGAAGAATGGTACTGCCTGGCAGAGCCTGGCTTAGCAGGAATTGAGACAACACTTCTTGCCTTTCATCATTCTCTGAATCTCGGGGCTGACCTAGCTCACGCCCACTACATTGGTCCCAGGCAGTGGAAGGGCTGATGGAGCTGGAGCTGGGGAGGAAGAGGGGGTGGTGGGGGTGGGTGGGAAGGAGAGGGCTGAGTTTTCAATACATCTTGCACTTCTGCCCGACAGTGCCAAGAGGTGCCACACAGAGTTTGCTTTTTTCACATCCCCAGTTAAAACATGTCCCCTTTGGAAAGGATCACAGGAGCTGAGAAAAACGAGATACTAAAAACTAAAGACTGGATCAGCTACTTGATGCTAATATACAGCCCAGACAGGTCCAGCAGTGGGCAGGCAGGGGTGAGGGCCGGAAGTCGCCGGTGACTAACTGCAGCCCCTCCCGCCTCCATCCCTGGTTGGGAGCCCAACTTACTTTCTTCTGTTTCAGTCACAGCTCCTCTGTGCTGCAGCCAGTTCTCCTTCAGACTGAATTGGTGGAAAAGGGCTTTATTCTGTGGAATTGGAGAAAGAGAACAATGAAGGGATGTATTTCTGCCCTTTGGAAAGTCACAGCTGTTGACAACATGTTCCCAAAGAGAGAGCCAATTTTTTTTTTAAAATATGAAATCCACCCATCCAATCTTGGAGAAACACACTGAGAGTTGTCCTCATGACTACATGGAGAGGGGCTGTTGGAGATTCTGAGCAAAAGAATGGGCTATAGGCATAGCCAGAAGCAGGCACACCCCTGTGGTTACTGTCGGCCATGTGCTGAAGCACCTCCCCCACCCCCATCTTGCATGTCTGGGTCCTACAACCACCTACTGATTCTTCTGAGGAAAGCATGGTCCCCTCATCCGCACATGAACTTGTACCTACACCCTCCCTGATCTCACATGCTATGCATATTTTTTTCACAGCAGCGACGTGGACGCTGCTGAGGCCCAAGGACTCTTGGGATGGAGACATGTCTTGGTTCTCAGTGATTATTCCCTTGCCCTGCCCCCACTACATCAGCTCCTGCAAACCTGGTATTGACAGCACAGGCAGCGCGCCTCCCCTGGTCACGGTCAAGGGCAGTGCACTGCCCCTTGCTTTCCTCTTTCCTCTCTGGGGGTGTCGAGTGCAAACTTTTTCCTTAACAAGATTCTATTCTGCTTGTAGCCAAAACTGTTGCCTGGATTTTGGGGGTTAGGGAGGCACAGATGTTTTAACAATTTAAATGTTATCTACTTCTTGGGGGATGGCAGGGGAGCTTGGAGCCTCCAAAATGTGCCACGGAATAGGGCAACCATGTCAATGGCACAATGCTAAAAGCAGCTGTGCACCTGTGTGGGAAAACCAGAGCAGAGCGGCAAGTGCCAATGGCTGCAGCCCCTGTCTCCCCTGTGTGCCCTGCCCTGTGTACCCAAGGCAGCAGGCACGCCCACTGTGAAGATGTGCCAAGCAAAACAAGGTCTCTGGACCACAACACCCAATTTTGCAGGTGCAAGCGGCTGCCTTACCTTCCTCTGGGGTGAATATTCATCCACAGTGCTAAAAGGAGAAGAAGAACAAGTTAGATTTATCACAGCAATGGACGTGGAAACCTCACTTTTAGGCACTGGGTGGAGGATGGCTGATGTAGCACAACAGCTTAAGCCATCACCTGTGACACTGGCATCCCACATGGGTGTGCTGGCTCAGGACTCGGCTCTCCACTTCCGGTCCTGAGAACACCAGGAAACAACTCAAGCCCTTCAGCTGCTAGATGCATGTGGGTGATCCTGACGGAGCTCTAGGCTCCTGGCTTTTGCCTGGCCCAGGTTGGGGGTTATGATCACCTGGGGAGTGAACCAGTGGATGTAAGACTTCTGTCTCAGTATCTCTAACTCTGACTTTCAAACACATTTTTTTTCCCCTCTGGTCCTTACT